ATTCAGGCGTCTAGTTAGATACTTATCTAATTATGATTTTTAAAAGTAACCTCACCTGGAAGGTAACTCTACTGAGGAATGAAGGTGTAATGTTTGTACAACAAAACTAACTAATGTGAAGGGTATGCTAGATTTTTAAAACAGCAAAATTCATAATTTTTAAATTTATATTTTAAGCGTGTAATAAGTAACACATGAATAGTTCATACTACATCCATATGAGGTTATCAGATGAGGGCAAGGCAGTAATCACCTTTTCATTTCTCCATGTATGTGTGAAATTTATCATTTCAATTCATAAGAAATAAAAGGACTCATATTTTAAAATACTAATGTTTGATCAATGATTCAAAAATATAATCATTCATAAACACATTAAGATGTTCAAATGTATTAGAAATTATACATAAACAAATTAATGTATCCTTTTTTGGGTAGTTCCAAATAATTATAAATAATTCTAATGTTTACAATTATCATATATATGAGAAAAGAAGCAGTGAATAAAATGTAAATTTAGAAAGAAAAATTGCCAATATGAGCCAAAAATCTTAAAAATAAATCTCTGGGCTCCAAATAATCTAGTTCCAACAAAATCCCATAGTGGAAAAATTAGATTTTACAAGGAACTATGTGAAAATGGCTCAATAGTATTTAAAGAAAACTAAGTAATAGTAAAAGATATGCCAAGAATAAAATTAATGCATTTACGAGAATATTGCTTAGCTACTTAATATGCTGCTATTGTTAAAAACTTCAGCTTACAAGGTAGTATTATGATGTATTTCAGCTCTTATTCAAGTTGCATTTGTACAGAAATGTATTTTCTAAAACGCCTTTTATATAAATATAAAGTTTTTCTGTCTTATATATATTCATAAAACAAAAGACATCCCTGTAAGAGCGATATCTGAACATGATTTAATATATCACTAATAAGGATTGCTAAATCTGTAAGAAGTTCTCAGGTAAGAGTGGTCATAAATAATCACCTTTTCATGTAACCAGTTTGACTTGTGGTCTATTCTTAATTGAATGTTCTAACAAGTCATGGTCTTATTTGCCTTTTATCTAATAAAGTATATAGCAGTTAGTGAATAAATTATTCATATAAAAGTGATAAAAGTTTACTCCATCTTCATTCCTTGTAAATTTGATGTTTTTCCAAATTATTGATAGAGGCCAATTTGAAAACCATAAGTTCTGAGAGAAATTAAATTGATGATACTTCTGTAGAATGCAGTGCCATGAGACAAGGTCTCTTTTGTTACTGAACAATGCAAGACATATTTTTAAATGATATCATTTTGAATAAAACAGTTTGTCTACCTTTTATAATATTTTAATACCAATACATTGTTATACCATAGAGAGATGTGATCATAATAATTACTATATTCTAATATTGTAAATCAAAAAAATATATAATTTGTCCTAAAGCAAATGAAAGCAAAACAAATAATTTAACTGGAATTAAGAGTTCAATATACATAATAGTTTAGGTATAACATTTCATAAAACAAAGAAATATATTTTCAAAATTAATATGTAATGAAAGTAAAAAAAGGCTTCATAGTGTTTACAAAATTAACATGCACTTCTTACACATAAGTTAGAAAAGGGAGTGTATGCATAAATAATACTAATATAAGTTGAGTATTCCTAAACTGTGATTATTTTTTAATTTGAAGAAAACACACATTCACTTAATAAATTATTTCATAAAGGGCAGAAGTATAAAGTGCAGCCTAAATCTGATATTATTACAAATGAAAATCACTCTATAACACTTCAATGAAGTGTATGTGATAATTGCTTATATTTGCAAATTTATTCCAGTTTGGAACAGTTTTTCAAAATTATCTTTAACAAAAGAAGTCAATATTTTAATGAGAGATTGCTGAGTTGGATGGGTATGTGTGACACAGTCAAACTTTATCTCAAATTTTGACCATGATTTGAAACTCTATTTGCCTAAAAGTTACCTTATTAAGGGAAAAATAGTCATAAAGAAAAAAAAAACTTTTCCCTCTTAAATATATTTTAAATATAAATAACCACTTTAAATGTCAAGATGAGAAAATTGTTAAAGTATACCATAATAAAGACTCTCACATGAAGGAAAAGCTACATTTAAATCTTGAGATAATGGATATTTAAATTCTTTCAAGGCTTAGTATAGTAATTTTTTTTCTTCATGTCATTTTTGTTTCTTCACTGGCTACCTCTGCATTTTTTTTGTAAGAGCTAAAAGGAGAAATAGAGACTCACAACAATCACTGTTAGTCAACTCTCCTGGGAGGATATAGGCAGGCAATATTCTCAAATGATCGATGTACTTTTAAAAACAGTATTTACACACCAATTCCACACATTTCAAATGTTTATACTGTCAGCCTAAAGAGTAAATTATTAGTAGTTATGAATTTATTTTTAGATTCTTTTTACTGAAATAATGCCACAAAGTTTGCTGTTACCTGAAAAAAATGCAATTTCTCAAGTGATTCGAAACATTATGACAATTAAGCTTTTGTATTTGATATTTCAAACATTATCTTGTACTTTAAATACCACTTTTCTCAATGTCTAATAGAATTTTTGAAGCAGCATTTATTACAAGATAAGACATGAGATAAATAGCTCATTCTCAAAAATCACCAGCCAAAGTATATTTTTTACTATAGTGAAAAAATTTTCTGAAAATATCTAGTCACTAATAGGATACTCTATTTTCTTGGCACTGATTTGGCTTTGGCTGTATAGTTTCACCTTCTTTACACAGAAAATTAGCATTTACCATCATAAATACACCACACAAAAATGGAAATGTTAGTATAAACCAGTAACATAGAAATATATAATATTCATTATTACACTTTGTTTTCATATCTTCTCTCTAATCTTAGCACTATCCTAAAGAAAGTCCATTTTAAATTTCACAAATCATTCTCAAGGGTTTTTTTTTTATGTAATATAAGTAAGTAGGTCATTAAAACTTTGGATGTGGTTATTTTAAATACATTTAGTTAATCAAAAAAAAATAGTAAACTCAGGTCTTATCCATAGTGGCTGAAAGAGAAAATAGAAGCTGATAGGCCAAGGTAAATATGAGGAAAAAAGTAATTGTGATCATGTTAGTAAAAAGTCAAACATATATGGATGGATCCCCTCTGAAAACACCATAGTGTTTCTCTTTCTGAATCCTGCTGGAAAAAAAAAAGTCATTCTAACCATGACTCCATACTCTTTTTAGAGCAAAATGTGTCCAAGTTCTTACGAGTTTCCACAGTCTCCATCGTCTGAGAAGGAAGTACAGAAAAATGGCATGTACAAAGAGCCATGGTATGTCAAGACCCCTGTGAAAAATGAAAACAAAAAATAGTTTGTTTTTTCTTTTGATTTTCATGGGGGTTATTTGTGTTTTGTTTTGGATTTTTGGCACTTCCAGAGCAAGTTAAACCCTGAGCATATATGAGAATATCTTAATTTTCCCAAAAGAATTTTAATTTTAGAAAGAGAGTAACATATAGCTAACCTGTGTACTACTTTGAAGAGAGAAGACTACCACAAAAGGTAAGTTCTAAGTAATATTACTCTGCTTATTTGTCAATGTACAGAAAATGTGCTAATGTGCAGAGCACCTAACGTGGTGGACCATGTCATCCGTCATAAACAAAATGTGCCTTTCGGTCAGCCTTGTGATTTTTTCCTATCTTGTCCTGTTATCTGGAGTCAAATCTTAATTTTATGTCAACTCAAAATTCTCTACTAACCTATGCCTCACATTTCCTAAAAGTCACATACATGCAGAATCACTTTTCTCTCCTTCACTGTCAGACAAAACTGTAATTCTGATGTTGTCCCAAATCACTGCCCATTTTAGCCTGCTCTTTAGCTACTCCTAAGCAGTCCTTTCCTGTTACTTCTGGAAATTATTTTCCTGCCCAAATGAATTATCCTCTTCTCTTTCCCTTTTGAACCCGATTTGATTTATATCTTCCCACTTCTCCAATTTGTCAAGCTGTTTTGAATTTAACTCGTACCCTACATAAGGAAATCAGTCCACCCAAGTGGATATCATCAGGAAAATACACTTTGTATTCATTCAGTGAAGGACACAAGGTGGTCTTTTTATGCCTAGAAAGCTTTCAGCCACATAGTCTCTCCCTAGTGTTAGTTCAGAAACATTACTAACTGAAGAGATCAACAATTACCGAAAGAAACCTGTAATACACAAAATATATTTGTTTTCATTTCTTGGATACTTTGTATCATGTTAGATGAATTGAAAGTATTGCTTCTATTTTTTCCATTCAATCATTTGAAAGCAAACGAACTCAATGCAGTAATAAGACTTCAGGAATTTATTCTGATTATTCTCTGTTTCTCTTTCTGAGTAATTGGGGAGGCAAGGGTTGCTGTCAATAATTCTAAGCATTTTGAGATAAAGCGTGGAACTGGTAATAGGATATGATAAAGTTATAAGTAGGACTTAGCCACTCAATGCCTATACAAGCATGCATGACCCAAAATGCAACTCTCCATAGCTTACTTAGTGTATATTTCACATCAAAACTCCAGGCATTCTGACCTTAAAATAACACTAGATTAATTCACATATTTTATACAAAACTTTGAAAATCTATTACTACTTTCCTTACCTCATTGTGGTGATTAATATTGCTATTTCTCCTACTTGTATCTTTGGTTCATAAAGAACTCCATAAATGAACATGACTTTTTTTTTTGTAAATTAGGGAAAAGTCTTGTATTCCTATTCTGAGGTGATCTCTGATTACCCAAAGATTCATTTTTTCTACAGTAATAAAAAAAATCCAAAAATAAAAAAATGCAAATGTTTCATCAGTAACACCCATCTGGATGCACACAAGGGCAGATAATTTGGAACTTTCTTGAGCCTACATAACAAAATCAATTAAAATTAAGGAATCACAGTAGGAGACCAAAATTATTTACAAAGGATCATTTATTAAACATGTTTGTTTTTACAAAATACAAAGACTGTTGTTCTGTATGAATACATCACATATGAAAAATAGTTATCTTTAATGAATTTAATTTGAAAGCACTCAGAATTTTGTTGTCATTTGTCTATTCAAAGGATCAACTTTGTTTTGTCCCTTCTCTAATACCACTGCCAATCAGGAAGAAAGTTTTTCCTCATTAGTCAAATCATATTCATAACAGCTAATATTTTATAGAAATAAAATCAGACAATGTCCGCCATACAAAGCTCTTTCTGCAAGTTACCGATTTGCCTATGATCCTAAATTTTTTTCAAGCTATAAGATAGGAAGAGTTGAGGAGCTAGGTAAATTTTATAATAATGTATTAGCAGCAGTTGATAGTAAATGCAACATAAGATTTGTTTTGTCTGTGGTACAAGAATATGTCCTATCAGACTCTACTGTATTTTTCTCTACTTGAACACAGGTAAGCACATACTGATTGTCTCTGAATGACAAAAAATGTATAAAAAATACAAGAAGCTGGTTCTGGTGGTCAGTGTGAGAGCCTATTTTCTGTAGCTAGTATGAATGCATTGCTAAAATTAGTGAAGACAGAAAAATGACTTAAAGGTAATATATACAGAGTTAAAATACATATTTTTTTATCCACTTGGTGATTTCAGGCACTGTGGCTGTTCAGGGAAAAAAAACTATTTCATGATTTATTCTTGATAGCGATTTAATTTTCAGTGCAAGCAAAAGCAAACACACACCTGCTCACCGCCATACATACAACCAAACATATTGGAAATACTCAAAACGAGTTCGCCTTCTCCATCTTCACGGTTAGAGCATCTTCGACAAGTGGCACTTAGCACGAACCCTCTAGAAATCATACGAGTCAGACCCGAGACCGTCGCTGCCGTGGTCATCCCTGTGTAAACGGTGTGGGGGGAAGGCCTGCCATCTGCGTGTTTCTTTCCTGAGAATGGAGCCGTCCTCTCGGTGTGCATCATAGGTGTGCGTGCTCTGAGCTGTGGTCGCTGTCGTGACTGTCTTCGTTGGCTAGAGAGTCCCCCGTGTGCTGCAGGGCGGCGGCGCCAATCCCCGAGAGCTCCGACGGGAGCAGGGTTCCCTTTTTCACATTCACCAGTTCCTTTTCTCGAGCTGCAGCGCCTTGCTGGCCTCCTTTGACCCGCTTCCATTTCATTCGCCTGTTCTGGAACCACACCTTCACCTGGAGCAGGAGCGGAACACACGGCAGAGAGTCAGTAACGGACAGCCTTCTCCTCGCGTCCCCGGGGAAACACAGTTCCATGGATGATCGTGAGAAACAACTCACCATTGGAACCGAGTCAAGTTGCAGGGTCGTTATCATTTAAAAACTTTCAGAAGGAGCATGGAAGCTACTCTATTTCAAATTTTCTACAGGTGACAGAAAGATGGAACTAATGGGGAAGAACGCCATCATTTAAAGGTGCTCGGAGGTATTTGGCTCCATGAAGAGTTTCTGTGAAGTAGAGCTAGCATAACATTGGTCTGGGTCAAAATCTCCCCACCACCCCAAGTTCGTCTCCGACTTGACACCTGTGTCAGTTCCTGAGCCTATGTAAAACATTCAAGGAGTTGTCGCTGAGGAGCAGCGGTATCTGAAAAGTCACTCGTGTCATTACAGATGTTCTCTGGCTTACGGTGGGGCTACTTCCAGATAAATTCATCAAGGAAATTTTAAGAAATGATCATTGGAGCCATAATAGGCCCAGACGGTCCCCAATCTTTAGGGGATTGTATCAGATAAACCTATGGATGGTCAAGTGCACAAGACGCCAACTATCCTAGATCATGAGCTACCTGCACCCTCCACCCCGAAGACCTGGGGGGCTTCTACCTCCTTACCGCGAAGCAACCCTCTACCCGGCAGAGACACTCCTTTTGTCTTTCAGCACACCGCACTGCTATTTCACTGTGCACACCTAGGGCTGAATACTTTCCCCAAAATATGGTCATGAAAAAATTATCTACATTTATTAAATGCTAATCCACATTGTAAAATTCGTATCAGCTCTGTAGAGATTTCTCTCTCTCTCTCGACACCTTCATTGAATTTGCCCGATAGATTTAATATGTGTGTCTTTTAAGCAAAAAAAAAAAAAAAGTAATTCATTGTAATTCATTTAATGACCATCAGTTTCGGAGCCAGAACAATATCGGTGTCGCTGCATCTTGCTTACGGAGGAATCTGATTCTTTCATAGCGCATTTCTCACTGTGAGCTAAGTGTTCCTTTTACATTGTATTGCTGTCTATCTTATGTAAAATCATCACAAGTCTGAATTGAAAATATAAAAGCTGTCTTAAATAATAATATGTGCATAAAACATTGCAGCTTAATATTTGCCCTTTACACTTGTCAAAATGGAGTCGTTTTTTTGTTTTTTGATTTTTGTTTTTTTGGTACCGGGAATTGAGCTCAAGACCTTAATCTTGCAAGTCAGGCATGCTGCCGCTGATCTAGGTGCCCAGCCTGGAATGTTCTTAACATAATGCCTTTGCCTGCTCCATGTTAATGTTTACTCGTTCTTTGTTTACTGTTCCATGACATCCCAAAGGGTTTCATTATAGAACATTTATCTAGTTTACTGTCCACGGATACATGAATTTCTTTCATATTTTCTTTCTTTTATAAATGCTACTGGTGAATATGTTATTATACTTATATTCTGCTACACACATGATAGAATGTGTCTGGGTATATATCAGATTCATCAATGAAAAAAATGATATAAGAACATTAATTTTACCACAATAATTTAGAAATTTTGTTTCCCAACGATGTATCAATTTAATTCCCCTGTCCATGGTAGTGACTGAAATCTCTCATTAACCTCCATCGTTGCCAATATTTGAAATTATCCATCTTAAATTTATCTAATGTATCAATATTATCTCAATATATTTTTCTTTTGCAGTTCCTGATTGTTACTGAAGTAAGATGTCTTTAAGATGTTTATGGCCCCTTTGTGACATATTATTTCTTTGTGAAATATCTCTATATACTTCTCTGCATTAAGTGATTTTTAGAATTTAATCGTATTCTTTATATATTTTATATAAAGTATATATATACTTATGTATACTTTATATAAAGTATATATAGTTATATACTGAATTCTAATTTTATAATTTTCAGTTTTATACAGTTATTCTACACTCTCAATTATGCTATTTCTTTTTTCTTAGACTATTTTTGATGACTAGAAAATTTTAATATATTCAAATGTATGAATTATTTTCTATGATAATTATTTTACATCTTCTTTAAGGAATCTTAATGGGGTCTGGTGAAAAAAGCTTATCACCCCAGTACTCTGGAAGGCTAAGGCAGGGGGCATTTCAATACTAAGCTCAGCCTCAGCAATTTAGCAAAACACTGCCCCCCCAAAATATTTTTTAATAGGATGTAGTTTAGCATGAAGGCCCGGGTTGAATTCTGGCCTAAGAAGGGAGGGAAGGAGAGAAGGAGGAGCGAGAGAGAGAGAGAGAGAGAGAGCGAGAGAGCGAGCGGAGTCAGGAAGTGGTGGTGTCTTTTATGATTTATTTTCTGAAATTGAGAAAGGAAGGAAGGAAGGAAGGAAGGAAGGAAGGAAGGAAGGAAGGAAGGAAGGAAGGAAGAAAGAGGCTGGGGATTTAGCTCAGTGGTTCTGCCACCAAGGACCTGAGTTCAATTCCTGATACAGACAGAGAGGGGAGGGAGAAGGAGACAGAGAAATGAAAGGGAAGGAAGGGAGGAGGGAGGGAGGACGAGGGATGGGAGGAGGAAAACATTAAGGAAAACAGCCAGATGAGGTAGCGCATGTCTGTGATCCCAGCATTTGGGAGGCTGAGGAAGAAGGATCACTGGAAGTTCCGGCCAGCCTGAACTACAAAGGGAGACCCTGCCCCCTGCCTCAAAAAAAAAAATAAATAAATAAATAAAATAAATTAAAAAATAAAATAAAACGAAAAATTCTTATACAAGAGAAATTATGCGGTTAAGAATTCACAGGAGCAGAGGGAAAGGAGGGGTAGGGATTGAAAAAGGAAAGAATTAAGATGTATTATGTATGATACAACTTCTCACAATAAATGTAATCATGCACTGCAAACATGCACTAATAAAAATGCAAATTTACTTTAACAGGTGTGAACAGCTTCTTCTCCTAAGTCTATTTAATAGTCCACTTTTCCCCACTGATTACTCCTATTGCACTGTCATGAAACAAATGCCATATGTACTTAACTTTAGGTCTGCCCTCTCTCCTGTTACTTTATTAACATTCTATACCTGTGATAAATTCTATCGGAATCATTTTATTATGTCTTCATAGCAGATACGGATCAGAAATATTTTGAATATTTTTCATTCTTATTTGATAAATAATATCAATTTCTATAAATGTATAGTTCCAAGAACAAAATGCACTGAACTATATTGAATTTTCAAAGATAGACTTATATTCTGACCTCCAAATTGCAGCACTTTATCATGGTTGACGTGGTTTCCCCAAAACGTGGCACAATGAAATATTGAACTGAGTTATTCCTGAACTCTGGACTTTCACTGGTTTCACTTTGGGCCACAATTCAAACCATATATTGTATATTACAAGTATCTATATGACAATAAAGAAAACCAAGTGAGAAAGCCTGTGTAAATTCTAGTTGATAGAAAGGGGAGGAGAGTAACTTAGTGGGAGAGTGCTTGTATAGCATGCACAGCACTCTGGGTTCAATTCCCAGCACTACAAAATACAAAACAAACTACAATTATTAGTTGATGGGTGTTCAAGTATTGCTACTACTTGCTAAACAAAAAGATCCCTGTGTGCCTTTTATTACATACCCACTTTGAAATATACAGCTATACTATTGGTGTCATGTATGCATTATGTGTAATGTACTTTTCCCAGATATGTTAATATTATTTTCATTTTCAAGATGAGGAAATTGAGACAAAGGTAAAGTGATTTGCCTAAGATTACACAGATGGAAAATGTTGTTCCAGGATATAATCTGGAGACTGGTTCACTTCCAGATTCCGTTTTCATTTTTTGGTCCCTGGTATATCGCAAACTCCTATTTTTAAGGCACTCAATATATTAAAAATATATAAAGTATATGAATTGTGTTCAAATGATTACTATCATTCAGGTAATTCTTCTACTCAACATAATTAGGTTTGTAAATATGACACTATTTTCCTGTACTGTAATTTGGGTAATTTTACTACTCAGTTTAATTATCTTTGCAAGCTTGACATTGCACGTTGCATTAGATCTGTTCCACATGAACTGGGTTCTACTCTTGGCTCTACTTCTGAGTTTTTGTGTGAATTTGAGAAAATTATACTCCTCTTTACTCCAATTTTCATATTTGTAATATTGGAATAATGAGCCCTTCAAGAATGTCTGTAGGGTTATTTTCTCCGACAATTCCAGATGGAAGAAAACATAAAGCCATCCTCCTCCTCCTCCTCCTCCTCCTCCTCCTCCTCACTGGACACTAAAAGTCATTTAAAATAACCTTCATGGGAAAATAAGAGGAATAGATCTCTTAAAATGAGTACTTATTTCCTTCACTAGGAAAAAGGACACAGTAATTTTATAATTCCTGTACAAGATGTACATTTCAAAATGAGAAAAATGTAAAAACATGGTACTGGTTTTAGAAATACTACAGCCTATTTGGGTTTTTTTATGACTACCATGTGAAATTTTACCATTTTAAAACACAAACTGACAAAAGACAGGATAGTTGTCAATAGTAGCAATACATGTATGTATATGGCTACTTATAAATAAATATGTACAGGTCCATGCATATACATGTGAGAATAAAAGCAATTGGAAACTGCACAATAATTCTTAAACCTCATACAATTTTTAAATGTTAGATTACATATTTGATACCAGAACTTCATGAGATTAGTGATAAAAGCAAGAAATCAAGTGACACATACAAGGTTCACCTTACAGAAAGGGAAGGAAAGGTACAGATCTCCAAATGTTATGTCACCCTGGTTTATTTTAAACTATGTTATAAAATACTGGAGTAAATTGAAACAATGGGAGTGAGGTTTGGGGGAAATGTATTTATTAACAACACCGTATCATAAAATAAAAACCTACAAAAGTAATCCAGATTATAAATAAGTATTACCTTTAGGAAAAAAATACCACAATTGATTCATAAATAATGA